TGAAGTCGTAGTCACAGCAATTGGGCAAGAAAAAGATAAAAGTCATCCAAATTGGAGATAAAGAAGGAAAATTATCACTCTGCAGATGACATGGCATTTTATATATAGAAAACCTTAAAGATTCCACTAAAAAACCATTAGAACTAGTAAATTCAGTAAAATTGCAGGATACAGAGTCAATATACAGAGGGTTGCCTGGGTGCCTCGGTTGGTTAAGTGTCCAGCTCTTGATTTTGGCTCAGGTCATGATCTCAGGGTCCTGGGATTGAACCCCAAGTTGGCCTCTGTGCTCAGAGGGGAGTCCTCTCAAGGATTTCTGTCCCTCTCCCTGTGCCCCTCCCTGTTTTGGGCTGTCTCTCTCTCTCTTAAAAAAAAAAAAAAGTCTTTCAAAGTCAATATACAGAGAAATATGTTGCTTTTTTAAAAAATTTTTTATTCTTCTGTTAATCACCATACATTACATATGTTGCATTTCTATACACCAATAACAAACTATCAGAAAATTAAGGGGGCACCTGGGTGGCTCAGTTGGTTAAGCGTCCAACTCTTGATTTTGGCTCTGGTCATGATCTCAGCGTTGTGAGATCAAGCCCCACATTGGGCTCTAAACTCAGTGGGGAGTCTGCTTGTGATTCTCTCTCTCTCCTCTCCCTCCACCCCTCCCCCCCACTTGCATGCATGCTCTCTCTCTCTGAAATAAATAAATCTTAAAAAAAGAGAGAAGGGGCACCTGGGTGGCTCAGTCATTAAGCATCTGCCTTCGGCTCAGGTCATGATCCCAGGGTCCTGGGATCGAGCCCTGCATTGGGCTCTCTACTCCGCGGGAAGCCTGCTTCTCCCTCTGCCACTCCCCGTGCTTATGTTCCCTCTCTCGCTGTCTCTCTCTCTGTGTCAAATAAATAAAATCTTTAAAAAAAAAAAAGAGAGCAAGAAGAAAATAACCCCATTTTCAGTTGCATTAAAATGAGCAAAGTACTCGAATTATAACCAAGGAGGAGAAAGACTTATGTACTGAGAAGTATGACATTGAAAGAAATATAAGGAGACACAAATAAATGCAACGATATTCCATGCTCATGGATTGGAAGAATTCAAATTGTTAAAATGTTCATACTGCCCGTAGCAATCTATAGATTTAATGCAACCTTTGTCAAAATTCCAGTGGCATTTTTTCACAGAAATAGAACAAGCAATTTTAAAATTTGTGTAGAACTACAAAAGACCCTGCATAACCTAAGCAATCTTGAGAAAGAAGAACAAAGCATCAGGCTCCCTGATTTCAGACTATATTATAAAACTACAGTAATCAAACTACTACAGTATTGACATAAAACAGACACACAGGGGCACCTAGGTGGCTCAGTCAGTTGAGCATCCAACTCTTGATCTCAGCTCAGATCTTGATCTCGGGGTCATGAGTTCAAGTCCCACATTGGGCTCCACGCTGGGCATGGAGCCTACTTAAAAACAACTGGGGCACCTGACTGGCTCCATCATTTAAGTGACCACCTTTGGCTCAGGTCATGATCCTGGGGTCCTGGAATTGAGCCCCGCTTTTGGCACCCTGCTCAGCAGGGAGTCTGCTTCTCCCTCTTCCTCAACCTTCCCCCCTGCTCTTTTTCTCACTTGCTGTCTCTCTCTCTCTCTCTCTCTCGAATAGATAAATCTTTATGAAAAAAATTAGAAACAACAAAAAAACCAGATACACAGATCAGTGGAACAGAATAGAGATCCCAGAAATAAACCCATACATATATGGTAAATTAATTTAGAAAAAGGCACCAAGGGGGCACATGGGTGGCTCAGTCGTTGAGCGTCTGCCTTCAGCTCCAGTCACGATCCCAGGGTCCTGGGATCGAACTCTGTGCTTCTCCCTCTCCCTCTGCCTGATGCTCCCCCTACTTGTGCTCACTCTCTCTCTGTCAAATAAATAAAATCTTTAAAAAAAAAAAAGGCACCAAGAATATACAATGGGGAAAGGACAGTCTCTTTAATAAATGGTGTTGGGAAAACTGGACCACTTTCTTAGGCCATATACAAAAATTCACTCAAATGGATTAAAGACTAGAATGTAAGACATGAAACCATAAAAACTCTGGAAGAAAATATAGAGAGTAATAAGTTCCTTGACATCGATCTTGGCAGTAATTTTTGGATTTGACACCAAAAGCAAAGGCAACAAAAGCAAAAATAAACAATTGGGACTACATCAAACTAAAAAGTTTCTGCATAGCAAAGGAAACCAGTAACAAAATGAAAACGCAACCTACTGAATGGAAGAAAATATTTGCAAATCATATATCTGATAAGGGGTTAGTATCTAAAATATATGAAGAACTCAGACAATAGCAAAAAAAATTAATCCAATTTAAAAAATGAACAGATGCTCTGAATAGGCATTTTTCCAAAGAAGACATACAGAAGGCCAGTGGGTACATTAAAACATCTCCAAAGTCACTAATCAGGGAAATGCAAATGAAAACCACAGTGGGCTATCACATCTGTTAGAAGAACGGCTATTATCAAAAAGAACAAAGGGGTAGGACTGCGAGGGGAAAAATACCAAGCGTTGGCAAGGATGTGGAAAAGGGGATCTTTGTGCACGGTTTGTGGTATTATATATTGGAGCAGCCACTATGGAAAAAATAGATCTGCCAATATGATCCAGCAATTTCACTTTTGGGTATTTATTTATATGAAGAAAACAAAACACTAACTTGAAAAGGTATGTATCACCCCCATGTCATTACAGTATTATTTACAATAGCCAAGATATGGAAACAACCTTAAGTGTCCATCAGTGGATGAATGGATAAAGAAAATGTGATGTGTGTGTGCATGCACACACATATATACACATATATAAATAAAATGGAATATTATCAGCCATAAAAAAGAATAAAATATACCACATCCATTTGTGAGAACATGGATGGACCTTGAGAGCAGCATGCTAAAATGAAATAAGTCAAAGACAAAAGCATCATATGATCTCATTTATATGTGGAATCTAAAAAACAAAAACTAAAAAAACCAAGACAGAACAGATTGGTGGTTACCATAGTTGGGGGTTGGGAGGGATGGATGAAATGGGTGAAGGGAGTAGAAAGGTACAAATTTTCAGTTAAAAAATAAATGTCATGGTGATATAAGGTACAACATGGTGATTGTAAGTAATAATACCATATTGCATATTTGAAAGTTGTTAAGAGAGTATGTCTTAAAAATTATTGCAGAGACAAATTTGTAAATATGGTGACATGTTAACTAGACTTATGGTGATCATTTTGCAATATACACAATATCAAACATGTTATGCACCTGAATCTAGTAGGTTTTGTATGTTAATTATACCTCAACTAAAAGAAAGTTTAAAACAGGAATGGAGCAAAAGCATACTGAGCATAAACAAGGCCAGACTTGCCTTGAACTTCAGGCAGTGTTTGTTACGTGCTTTTGGTGGACTTTGTCTTGTGTGTGATATATAGACAAATCTGGTAGGCTTTAGTACCAAAGACAGGAAAATCCCACTCCCATAGGCTCACATGCATAAGACTTAAAAGAAGGTCCGTGTGAACATAAAGCCTGAAAACATGTGCAAATCCTCTTTTTTCTTTCTGATCAAACCTTTTTTTTTTTTAATGATGCTATTGCTGGGAGTCTATTTAGTGTATTAAATTGTATCTTAAACAGCTTAACTAGTGCAGTGGGAAGAAGTTAGAGGTTTTGAAGGCTGAAGATTAGAGGTGGGTTTTATAAAAATGGGTGCACTTTAATATTTAAAATGTTTGGTTGAGTAATATATGTACATATGCACACATTCAGAGGAAAATACACATAAGTATATAGCTTGGTGAATTTTCACAACTGAATATATCCGTATAATCAACACCCAGAACCAAACCAGAACCTAAACAGCATCCCAGATACTCTCATTGTTCCTCTTCCAGTTATTTCCTACTCAGAGTAACCAGTATTCTGACTCCAATGCTATAGATGTGCTTTGTTTGATTTTGTTCCCTATCTAAATTAAATCATACAGTATTTACATGTTCGTGTCTCTTCTTTTGCTTGAAAATATTTTAAGATTTATTCACATTTTCTTCTATATGGTTAGAGTTTATTCATTTTCAGTACTATACAAAATTCTATTGTATGAATATAACAACGTACCCATTCTACTGTTGTTAGGCATTTGGATGGTTTCCAGTTTGGGGCTATTCTATATTGTGCATTATCTAATATATTATATTAATGTATTTTGATGTATATGCATAAATTTCCTAGGACATTTCACAGTTTTTTATCCATAGTCAGCGAACTACTAAGTGTTCGTCAGTGTTGCAGTCTATATATTTGCTCTGTGTACCTTACTCAAATGGAACTGTAGTCGCAGGTATTACCAAATCCTTCCCTTAGTGTTCTCACTAGACTTTTTCTAAAACTCACTTGGATTTTCAACATATATTTTGGTTAAGTATGAATATTAATGTGTTTTATCAGATTGTGGTTGCTTTTTAGTCTTTGTTTTACTTGCTTGTGTATCCCAGCAGCTGGCACAGTTACCTGAAAAATAGTAAGCTGCTTGAGTGAATGGTGATGGCCATCATCATTGCCAGAGATTAACACAGCAAGTTCCCTAGGTTATGTGAACCATCTAGTTCAGGTAAAATACTTGCTTTAGTTTGACATCTCAGAGTCAAAGGGTTAGGAATGGGAGGTGATCACTCTCTGAGAAGCCTACAGCAGGGCTCGGAACTGAACAGGCTGTGTGGTTAGGGGGAATTGCTGTGGCTTTACAAGCCTCTTGGAGATTGCGTGTGTTAACAGCAGTGATTCCAAAGGGTAGTGTGGGGGCCAGATATAAATAGCAGAACACAAATGGGGTGAGGTGCCACTGCCAAGCTACTGCTGGGGGTGTTTATAAAAAGAAAAGCATTCCCTCTCAGCTCTCACTGTCAACAACCTCCCATCCTGAAGACACGCTTACCACAACTGAGGGAGTGGGGAAACAGTTTGAGACCTAGCATCAGTTAAACCTCCTCCACAGGCAGAAAAGCCAGGTAAACATTTTGACTTATTTACACTCAGCTACAGAAGTAAAGAATTTTCAGAAAATCCTGATTCAGAGCTTGCTTGGCACATACTGCCTCGTGACAGTTATCTGTCGAGTATTATATTTCAAATCTTTTTTAGAAAGTGAAGTTTAACACAAAAGTGGCATTTTGGTTGTATATTTCAGAGTCTCTAGTGAAAGAAACTGCTCCTGAGTAAAGATGGGAATGTGGGGCCAAAGAGAGAACTCTCCTTTCCCCTATGCTGTTTATTCCCATTTGCAGATGCCAGAATATGTTGATTGGTAGGATAAAGTAGAGATCTCTGTTCAGTTCCAGTAAAGTCAGCTTTGTTACAGGTATGTGGAAAGAACCAACCTTTAATTGAGTCAGTTAATGGCTGTGGGGACAGCTTCAGCTCTTGAGGACCTCTCACCCTCCTCTTTACCCCTTTCAGTCTCCTAAATATTGGGACAAGTATTGGGCATTTGGCCAAAGAGTTGTATAATCTTATTAGAATTCCTGCCTACCTAATTTTTTCTTATTTTCATTCCTGCCATCAGAAATTTATGCAAGACACTTGTTTTATCCTTGGGCTTCTCTTGAATCTGAATATTTGGGGGAAGGAGGCCCCCTTGGGTAACCCTTCAGTTAGTAACACTACTGGTCTCATCATTCCCTCCATCCTACACAGATGGGTGTGACTTAGTTTGCAAAGAGGATAAAAGAATGGATGATGTGCATGCACCATAACTACTGGGGAAGTTTTGGAAACTAGGAGCTAGGAGACCACCAGTCTGAAGTGATTGTTTTTTATAGTTTGTGTTATTTCCTGTGTAGGCTAAGGGAAAATTCAGAGATAGGAAGAAAATATGACTACCAATGACTGTCCATGATGGGAGAGACAGCATGGCTGGAGGAGAATGGAAATGGACAGATTTAATCTTGAACAAATTTCTGAAGTTCTCTGAGCTTTTGTTTCCCTATCTGTAGAATGAGGATGTTAGCCACCAGACAGAATCTAATGGCCCTTCCAGCCATTGGAAATTTACTGATGATCACTTCCTGACCATCATGATATCTACTCTCACCCTGAAAGAAATACATACACTGTGTCATCCTGCTCTACTTCCTCTAAACTTACTCTTTTTTAAGTCTGCTAAATTGGAATTTCTTCATTTTAATTTAGAAGAGAAAAATGAAGACCGGACATTTTGATATGGTCACCATGCTGCTGGCAGCTATGATTCTAATGGACATTTTCCAGGTAATGTTGGGAATGGGAAGTATGTGGTCATTGGAATGGGAACTCTTGATATAATGTTGCCTGAGGCAACATTGGGTGGGTTGATGTTGGAAATGAGAGTGGATAGAATAAATAGAATAGGTAAATTAGATTTTTACAAGTAGATTTTATCTTTTCATTTTACACATTAGATACAGGCCAACTGTAGAAAGTTGAAAAAATTAAAATTAAGCAAACAGAGGAAAGTAAAAATCATTCACAATCCCTCCACTCAGAGGGAAAAGACTCTTAATCTGTTGGTGTATAGTCTTCTTGGCTTTTTTCTGTGTGTGTGTTTATAATTTAGAAAAATGGGTTCACACTGTACAAAGTATTATTTTACTTTGCTTTTTAAGTTACTACTGTATATAAATGTTTGTCATTAAGTATTCTTAAAGTATGTATTTTGTCCAAATAAGATGACACTGCAGTGTTTGGTTGTGTGTGTTTTGTTGAACTATATAATGACCATTTTCTCACATCTGGTGTTCTTTTTTTCTGATAAAACTTGTATGATTTTATTTTTTGCAGTTGAATCTTTAAACATTCTGTAACATATTTTTATGTAAAATATGAGTGAGGCATCTCATTTGATTTCTTTCTCGACAGTGTTAACTGTCACATCACTACTGAATATTTTTCCACTGTTTTGAAGTGCCTTCTTTAAAATATGTTAAGTTCTGGGGCACCTGGGTAGCTCAGCCGTTAAGCGTCTGCCTTCGGCTCAGGTCATGATCCCAGGGCCCTGGGATCGAGCCCCGCATCGGGCTCCCTGCTCAGCGGGAAGCCTGCTTCTCCCTCTCCCACTCCCCCTGCTTGTGTTCCCTCTCTCGCTGTGTCTCTCTCTCTGTCAAATAAAATCTTTAAAAAAAATAAAAATAAAATAAAATAAACTATGTTGTTCTTAAAATTTTATTTTTGCATTTAATATACTGATCCCTTGTCAATGGAATCATTGTGTATTCTGTTGCCTGTACTGCCGTATGATTTTTTAAATTGAGGTATAATTCACATATCATAAAAAAATCACCATTTTAAAGTACATAATTCAGTGGTTTTCATAAATTCACTGTGTTGTACAACCATCACCACTATCTCATTACAGAACATTCCCATCACCCCCAAAAGAAGTCCTGTAGCTCTCACAATCAGTCCCAATTCCCTCTTCCCTGCATCCCTTAACAACCATTACTACTTTCTGTTTCTGTGGATTTGCATATTCTGGTTGTTTCACCGGAATGTAATCGTACAGTATCTGGCCCTTTATGTGGCTTCTTTCACTTAGTATATTGTTTTCAAGGTTCATCTATGTTGTAGCATATACTAGTACTTCATTACTTTTTAGAGCTGAATAATATTCCATTGTATGGTTATGCCACATTTTGTTTATCCATTTATTAATTTTTTTTAAGATATTATTTATTAGAGCATGAGCGGGAGTGGGGGGAGGGGCGGGGGGGAAGCAGACTCCCCACGAGCAGGGAGCCTGAGATCAGGACCTGAGCCGAAGACAGATGCTTAACCGACTGAGCCAGCCAGGCACCCCTTCCCATTTATTAATTGATGGACATTTGGGTTCTGTTCTCACTTTTTAAAGGCTCTTAGGAATAAATAATTCTGCTTTAAACTTTCATGTATAGATTTTTATGTGAACATGTTTTCAGTTCTTTTGGGTATGTAACTATGAGTAGAATTGCTGGGTCATATGGTAATTTTATGTTTTCCATAGTGGCTGTACCATTTTATATTCCCACCAGCAATGTATGAGGGTTCCATTTCTCTACATCTTTGCCAACACTTACTTTCCTTATGATTATAGCCATTCTAATGGATGTGAAGTGGTATCTCACTGTGGTTTTGATATGCATTTTTAACATTCTTTTGTAACATAATTTCATGTGTGTTCTGTGACTGTTCTATAATTTGTTTAACCAGTTTCTTTTCATTAACATTTAGGTCATTTCCACATTTTTGGTAATATTTTTGTAATAAATTTTTGCTAATTAAATTTCATTAGTAAGGGCTTTTGTTTCAGTGATAAAACAGAGGAAGAAAATATTATCAGTTTGTTCACCTAGCCTTTTGGACATGTCCCTTAATATCCATTCAGTTGTCCCTGAATGGTGGTGGCATTTGTGAACTTTTTCACTGCTCAAGGCACTCACTGTACAGAACACACAATCAACTGTGGCTTTGGGCCAGAAAGACTTAATGTCTAAAATTAGACCTGTGGAGACTGGTTAGAGGCATAGGAAAAGAAAGGAATATGCTGGATAGGATATGATATCACTCTGATATGATGTGACTCAGATATGATGTGAGGAATGTGGGAGGTGGTTTCAGGGTGTGATGTCTTAAGTCTTGAAAATGAGTCAGGTATTAGTGCCCAAGATACACCGTGGTACGTTCTGTGCTGCAAAGGAAAATGCATTTCTTGGCTAGGAGATGGCAGTGATTTAATCTCCTGAAGCTCAGATTCCCACTTCAGGAAACTGACCTACAGACCCAGGAGTTCAATGGTCTCAATGACTTCCCCAGCAGAATATTCCGTGGCTGATAATAAAGACCGTTTCTGATGCTGGCCTAGTTTTTTCATTTATAAGATGATGTTATGAATTGTCTGCCCAACCTTTCATAATAGTTGTTAGGAGGAGAAAATTAAAGTCTTCTGAAAGTGCTACATAAATGTCTGTGGTCTTTATCATTGGAAACAGGGCATTTTGTTTAAGAGGACAGATGCTGGGGCCAGATTGCCTGGCTTCAAATCTCAATTTCAGACAAGTTACTCTGTCTTAGTTTGCTCATCCTTAAAAAAGGGACTAATAGTATCTACCGCACAGGGTTGCCATGAAGATTAAATGATTTCATTAACATATAGGAACACTTAGTGCTTGGCATACAGAAGACACCCTGGAGAAGTTTGTTAGGTCTTAGTGATAGAGTGACCACAGAGGGTGACTGAGAAGAAGATACCTAGGAAAACTCTAAAATGAATAGATGGGTCTTTGTAAGGACCAGGTTGTTGATGGGTGCTGTAGGCACTAAGATGGTAAGTTTGCTCTTAGACTATTAACAGTTGAAGGGTCTTTGTGCAATTCAAGTGGAGTTACTAAGTAGGCAGTTGATAATACGGGTCTGGCACTTACAGGGACAGGTCAGAGATATTTGATGATAATCGACACTATGAGCATGTATATAATTGCCTAAGTTGAGAGTTAAAAAATAAATAGCTTTGAGAAACTCCCAACATTTAATGGCCAATAGAATATGTTGGATCTTCAAAGAATCTAAGAGGTGTTCCCTTAGTGAGAGTTGTTTCAGTGGAGGAATGGGTGTGGGATTGAGTAAAGAGGATTGAGACGTGAGTGGAAATGAAATGGCGATATCAAGGGTAGACGTTTCTTTCAAGAAGTTTGTCTGTGAGGGGGAGAAGAGAGATAGTAGGAAGCAGATAGCCTGGGATATTTATTTTGCTTTTTTAGGTTGATTCTCTCTCTCTCTCTTTCCCCCTTCTCCCTCCCCTCACTCCTGCCACACCCACTTTCACTCACACACTCACTCACACGCTTTTTAAGAATCATTCATGAGGTAAAAAAAAAAAAAAAATCATTCACTCGGAGGCTGCAACTTTAACAGCTCCTAAGGGTCCTTATAAAGTTTTCAGCTGAGGTCTCCTGCTTAGGTTGTGGCTTATGCAGCCAATGTACTATTACAAGTATAGAATAGTGGAAAGAGAAAATGATGAGGGAATTACCCTTTTATTTGTAGAAACCCTTAAGTGGTGTACCCGGGCAGATTTGCTTGTCCTTTGTTTTGATCCATAGGCCAGAGTACAGGATTTCTTTTTATTTAGTGCCCGCGGTTCTTGGTCACACCGCTTCAAAGAATGAAGAGGCAGACCAGATGAAGAGTGGTGGGCAGCAAAGCAAAGTTTATTGAGCGATAGCAAAATGATAGTACAAAGCTCCTGAAGAGGGAGGGGACCCGAGAGGGTGGCCCCCAGAGTTTCTAAGTCTAGGGGTTTTTATGGGCTTGTTGGCAGGCTGTTTTAATCTGATTAACCCTCCCTGCACGGGTCACCCAATCACATTTTTGTCATCTGTCTATCACGTGGGAAAGGGTGGAGGGCTCCTTCCAGGGATGGTGTAAAATCCTTTTAAGGTGGGGGGTGGGGCTTCCTTGCCTGCCTTTTCTTCCAACTGTCCTTCATTAATTTAGTTCACTTGAATATTTTGCTAGTTGCTCTGCTAGCAGCTTGGAATTCAAAAGGTAAATGTGACACATTTCCTGCCCTTGAGGAGCTTACAGTATAATACATGTATTCCTATCATTAAATAATGAAGATAACCACAGTGTGTTGAAGGCTTAATAGGTGGGTGGGCAGTGTGGGTAAGGGGTTTGCATATATTCATTTTATCATTAGTTCTTTACAACAGTCCTGCAGTTAAGATATTATTTCCCTTATCCTCATTTTTAGATGAGAAAATTGAAGCTCAGAAATATGAAATAACTTTCCCATATCTAATTAGTATCTAGTTATGGAATTTGAACCCAGATTTGTCTGGCTCCAAGCTAGTGCTAATTATATGATACAACCCCACTTATTATGTTGTATGTATTATTTAAAGATACATTAGGCCTTTTTCGGTTGTGTGTGACAGAAACACAATTCAAACTAGCTCAAGCAGATATGGAATTTATTGATTCTTATGGTAAAACTTTCAGGTACAGCTAGACCCAGGGTCTTAACTAATGTCATCGGGGCTCTTCTCTCTCCCTTTTAGCTCTGCAGGCCTTTCTTTGTTGGCTTTATTTACAGTCAGGATTCTCCATGGAACTAAAAGGATAAGCACTGGCTGCCCCAAGCTAATATGATGCGTGGAGCTTATGGTTGTAGACGGAAGAAGCTTTTTTTCTCCCCCCTAGGAGCACTCTGGTTTTTAAACCTGCATCACTGGGCACCTGGGTGGTTCAGTCAGTTAAGCATCTGATTCTTTTTTATTATTATTAATATATAATATATTATTTGTTTCAGGGGTACAGGTCTGTGGGGTACAGGTCTGTGATTCATCAGTCTTACACAATACACAGTGCTCCCAACAACACATACCCTCCCCAGTGTCCATCGCCCAGCCACCCCATCCTTCCAATCCCCTTCCCTCTAGCAACCCTCAGTTTGTTTCCTGAGATGATGAGTCTCTTATGGTTTATCTCCCTCTCTGGTTTTGTCTTGTTTCATTTTTTTTCCTGTCTTCCCCTATGATCCTCTGCCTTGTTTCTCAAATTCCACATATCAGTGAGATCATACGATAATTGTCTTTCTCTGATTGACTTATTTCGCTTAACATAATACCCTCTAGTTCCATCCACGTCATTGCAAATGGCAAGGTTTCATTTTTTGATGGCTGCATAATATTCCATTGTATATATATACCACATCTTTACCATTCATCTGTTGATGGACATCTGGGCTCTTTCCATAGTTTGGACATTGCTGCTATAAACATTGGGGTGCACGTACCCCTTCGGATCACTACATTTGTATCTTTGGGGTAAATACCCAGTAGTAAGCATCTGATTCTTGATTTCGGCTTAGGTCATGATGTCAGGGTTGTGAGATTGAGCCCCACATGGGGCTCTGCACTGCTGAGTGTGGAGCCTGCTTAAGATTCTCTCTCTCCCTCTCCCTGTGCCCCTCCCCACCCCACCTGCTCACATGCTCTTTCTCGTGCGCGCACGCTCTTTCTCTCAAAAAAAAAGAAAAAAAAGAAAAGAAAAGAAAACACCCCTGCATCATTACTTATCATTGGAGAGAAGGTGCAGAATCAGTTCTACCCAAACCACGTGTGCAAGGGAGGGGGAATCCTCAAAGGAAAATGAATAATATTGATCATTATGTATCATGTACCGTATTTCACACATGATATTTCAGAGTCATTCAGCAGTCTTAAGGGGTTGAAAAAATCTAGCTAAGAATATTGTTTAAAGCCAAGACTGCTACCCATTCCTTTAATTTCACACTTACTCTTTCTTCTGCACCATAAGGTTCAGATGAGTGAATTACAGGCATAATCGTTCCCATACTTCTCATTGCTAACCTTTACTGTTTCATACAAAGAGATCACAGCTGACAAAAGTTATCAGTAACAGTGGGATATACTTCCTACATAAAAATCATGTCCAAAGTTGGGTCTAAGCAAGGGAGAGATTCTAGGCAGGGCATGAGAGGGTGGGGACAGTAAGGGAGAGAAAATGATATACACCAAACATCTCATTTCAAGAGTATTAATTTCCTTTTCCTTTTCTTTTGAAGGTGAAGGCTGAAATGTTAGACATGGCAGATAATGCATTTGATGATGAATACCTAAAATGCACTGACAAAATGGAAGTCAAATATGTTCCCCAATTGCTCAAGGAGGAAAAAGCAAGCCATCAGCTCTTGAAGGATGTGTGGGAAAATGCAGAAGCCAGATGGGAAGCCCGGAAGACTCGCATCTTTCTCCCTATGAGTTTTAAAGATAACCATGGAATAGCACTGATGGCATATGTTTCTGAAGCTCAAGAGCAGAGTCCCTTTTACCATATGTTCAATGAAGCTGTGAAGACGGCCGGCCTATCTCGAAAAGATTATATCTATGACTTCCAGTTCAAAGCTTTTCATTTTTATCTGACAAAAGCCCTGCAGTTGCTGAGAAGACCTTGTGAGGACAGTTACAAAACTGTGGTGTATAGTATAAGCCAGGATGTCTCATTTACATTTGGAGGGCTAAACCAAGCCAGATTTGGCCATTTCACCTTGGCGTATTCAGCCAAACCTCAAGCTGCTAATGACCAACACATTCTGTTAACCATCCACACATGCTTTGGAGTTGCTATAGAAAATTTTTTTGATAACGAAAGTGGAAGAATTATTTTAATACCTCTGAATGAGATTTTTAATGTGTCACAGGATGGAGCCAGCAATAACCTTATCCTTCAAAGCACAAACAAGACCTGCAGCCATTATGAGTGTGCATTTCTAGGTGGTAAGTGTCTCTGTTTTGTCTGCGCTTGTCTGGGAAGAAAGGAGTTGGATCTTAGGCCCAGGGAAAGGTCAGGAAAGAAACTGACAGGTGTTTGAAAAGAGAAATGACATTGATGGTCTCTAGCTCCTTTCATATCATTAGTTTTTTTCCCCATAATTTAATTTTATCAAGATAATACATTTATAGCATTCTGAAAGTTAAATAAAATACTATAAGGCAATGGTTCTCAACTGGGGCAATTTTGCCCTGCAGGGTCATTTGGTAATAACTGGAATTTTTAACTCTCACAGTCATCCCTAGTTGCTACTAGTAGCATCTAATGGGTAGAGGCCAAGGACACTGCTAAACAAAATGCACAGAACAGCCCCCCACAACAAAGAAGTACCTGGCCCATAACCGTACTTATAAGGCTTATGAAAAATAGCAACTCCCTGCCCCACTGTTCCCTATCCCCAATTTTCACTCCTCAGGGGCATTCATTTTTAATTTTTCAGCTAAAGTTTTTTTTTAAAGATTTTATTTATTTGCGAGTGAGAGCACAAGCAAGGTGAGAGGTAGAGGAGAGTGAGAAGCAGACTCCCCACCAAGCAGGGAGCCCAACGTGCGGCTCGATCCCGGTACCCTGGGGTCATGACCTGAGCCGAAGGCAGACACCTAACCACCTGAGCCACCCAGTTGCCTCTCAGCTAAAGTTTTGTTTTGTTTTGTTTTTTAGATTTTATTTTTATTTATTTGACAGAGAGACAGCGGGAGAGGGAACACAAGCAGGGGGAGCAGGAGAGGGAGAAACAGGCTTCCCACAGAGCAGGGAGCATGATGTGGGGCTCGATCCCAGGACCCTGGGATCATGACCTGAGCCGAAGGCAGACGCTTAACGACTGAGCCACCCAGGCGCCCCTCAGCTAAAGTTTTTAATAATATGTTTCAGCATGTTATTTCTTGATTTTTAAATTTTTAAACCTCATCAGTTACATCATCAGTAACTCAGTCTCAGCTTTTGTCTTTCTGTTCCACCAATCTTACCCTGTTGGGTTTATTGATTCATGTTTGCAATGTGACTCTTGTAGCTGTAGGCATCAATCCATGTTCAAGACAAAAAGAAAGGGCAGTGGGATGGCAGCTAGATCTTCCTATTTAATCAGGAAAGTAAAAGCTTTCCCAGAAACTGCTAGTAGTTTTCTGATAACATATCATGGACCAGAACAGCTACTTGATAATCCATAACTTGAAGAAAAGCTTGGAAATGAGGTAATTAGCTTTTTCAGCCTCTCTAGCGCAGGGAGGCAAGGAGAAGGGAGTTAGAAATAGTTGTCATGTCAGTAAACCAAATATATCTCATAACCACCACCCTACGCTCCTCCTCAGTGTTTGTGCATTTCCCCCTTCCCAATCTCCCATTGTAATAAAGACTGGTACCTTTTTATTTATTTTTTTAAGATTTTATTTTTTTATTAGAGAGAGCACGAGCAGGGGGAAGAGGCAGAGGCAGAGGGAGAAGCAGACTCCCTACTGAGCAGGGAACCTGATGTGGGGCTCCATCCCAGGACCCTGAGATCATGACCTGAGCCAAAGGCAGGCACTTAACCAACTGAGCCACCCAGGCACCCCAAGACTCATACCTTTTTAAATACCTTTTTTACCCCAGGGTTATTAGTTGTATGATTTTTTTTTGTTTCCTTAGTTCTTTATATCCCATCAATAATTCACCTCCAAATCCTTAGAAATATAAATCTCCACTTAGTACATTCAGACATATCAGATACTTTCTCTTTTTTTTTTTTTTGGAATATACTCCTGGATTCCCTCCATCAAACTACTCTGTGATGTACTCTTTAGGCCTGCTGAATATCCTAAAATCTCTCCTCACAACTGTAGAGACTTCCTTTTGTTTCTCCCCTGTGAGGAATCCCCTATATCTTGGATTTTCTCCTCTTTCTTGAATTACTTCTTTGTTTGGCAAGGGTGTGTGTTTTCTAAAAGTTTTCTGAGAAAAGGGACATTGAGGGAAAATTTTAAGACTTTGCATGTCTAAAAAATCTACCTGTAAGTTTGAATAATAGTTTGCATAGATTCGTATTTCTGTTTTGGAAACCATTTTCCTTGGAATTTTGGAGATATTCCTCCATTGTCTTCTGGTTTCTGGTGCTGCTGTTGAAGAGCAGGAAGCCATTCTAATTACTAAAACTTTGAATTAGACCTTATTTTTATCTTTGGATGGTTTTAGAACTTTTCCTCATCCCCAGCATTCTGAAATTTTATGATGTTGTGGCTTGGTGTCTGAGTGAAAGATTAATAAAACCCTTTCTCCTTCCTCCTGTGAAAATGGCCTCCTGTTGATCTTCTAACACTGTTTCTCTGTAATCTACTGAAGGTGAAATGACCACTGTGTAACCCTATAACGCTACCTAATGGTAAACATAGCCCTTGATTGGTAAAATGCATCTGAGCTGGGAGGGTTGTGAATAAACTGTAAATATTTGGGGGAAGCCATAGCTTTGGGCATTCCCGAATGCGGTGTGACATATGCAGGTGTTTTTCTTGCTGAGTCCTGAAACTATACTCATGGACTGGCATAAGAGATATTGTTTTTTGTGGAATGAGGCTACTAAGCTAGGATGGTTCCTGCACCCGCCTATGTAAGCTTGTTTCCTTGTACCCGAGCCATCATTTTGGGAACAAAAGAACAGGCCTGGATTGCTGTGAGGACTTGCGTTGAAGGGATGTGTCTGATGCTGCCCTGCTGCTAAGTAGTGTGTTATGTTTCTTGCCTTGCATTCTTCTGTAAAACTGAGTAAACTAGTGAGAGGAGAGCCTTTTTGGGTCTTATGAGTGTGCCTGTCTGGCTGAACCCAAAACCAGGGCTGCTGATCAAGCAGGGTGAGTATTGCAGTAGGGCCTCAGAAGTGGGATAGACTTTTAGACCTTGACTCATTGTGGCCAAGGCACTATGAGATTAAAAAGTACAGGTAAGTAAGTAGGAAAGTACTGATGAGACACCATGCCGGGGTGGGGGCTGATCCACTTATGATTTAATGACAGAAGTGTTGTGGCCATTGAGACGCCTGGGGCACAGAATTTAAGGAAGGTCCTTACTCTTAGGGTCATATACTTGTACCGTCTGCAAACTTGCATGATTCTAAGAGTGAGTGCCTTTTTAAATTTCGCATTCATAGGCACCTCATTTGCCTCACCCCAGTCCCGGTCCTGCGTTGCAAGTGAATGAAACTATCTACCTTGAGAGGGAAGATGAAGACTGAAGCGAGTAAATTTGTATTGAGAGGAAAAGTGCCCATTCCTCTCATCAACCATATAGTGGACCTGACCAAAAACCAAGCCATTTAGATCTGGCTCATACCAGCTCACGGAAGCTGACTGTGGGCATACATCTCTTCCCAGTTCCTCATACATCACAGTAGCTTGAAATTGGCCATGGTTGAGAGCTTTACCATGGAAATCAGTGAACAGTACAAATCAGGACCCCACCACCCACCCCAGAACCTATTCACCTAACCAATACATCACAGCCAGAAACCCAGTTGAAGCTGGGATGACAAAATGATTCCACTTTGGTGCTCCTGATGCATTTGGCCAAATGCCATTTGTGGAGGAAGAAACCCTGGCTGCAGTAGATGGAGGCCAAATCAGTCACTGGTTGATGGACAAAAGGTGGGCAGTGGAACCCACAGAGTTGTTTGTGAGTGGGATTATTATGAACAAAAGGGGTGGAGCCATTGGGTTGATTGAGAATGAGCCAGGGCTCAGGTTTTCATGAGGAAGTGCAATATGAGCTCATGCGAGGAAGGGAGGAGAGGAATATGCACACCCCTTTGGGTATGCCCACAAGGTCAGGCAGAGGCTGTCACAGCAAGTTAATGTTCAAAGCAGCCACAAGGAGAGGACTTTGTGGAGGCTCACATGCACTATTTGTTTGGGAGCTCTGACAAAGGCCACTGCAATTGATCCTGTTGATTTAATGCCAAACTGAATTCTAACCAATGTCCTCTGCTGCCATCTAGAGACAACCATTGGGATCTCAGGGACAAAACCCCCCCAAAAAGTAAAGCTAGGCTGTTTTCAACACTATGAAGGAAAATAGCCGGGGCTTTTAAAAACTCAAGCTGGAAGGATGTAATCAGAACCTTGTTCCATTGTGACTGAATAAAACTCTGGATGAAAAAAAAAAACAGTTGTTTCTAAAAGGGATAAAAAATGATACCAAATCGGGACGTCTGGGTGGCTCAGTCAGTTAAGCGGCTGCCTTCAGCTCAGGTCATGATCCCAGTGCTCTGGGATCGAGTCCCGCATCGGGCTCCTTGCTCAGCAGGGAGCCTGCTTCTCCCTCTGCCTGCAGCTACCCCTGCTTGTACTCTCGCTCACTCTCTCTCACCCACGCTCTCTCTTTCTAACAAATAAATAAATAAAATCTTTAAAAAAAAAATGATACCAAATTTAGTGCTAACACAGTCCTGTGTTGTTTTAAACTTGTTTATGATTTCCAAGATAACTAATATTTATAAGACCCACAATAAGTTTTTATCTAAAAAAAAAATAGGTCATTTGGTTAGGAATTGGAGAAAACACCAGTGTCCCATTAGGTAATACAATTTCCTGGTGGTCAGAAATACTAATCCAAGGATATGTGAGTGAACTGTGAGTAAATGGCAACAAAACCCTTTCTCCTTCCGCACTGGGGAAGTTACTGCAGGTTAACCTTCTGCTGTACTGCTTTCCTAGAAAACCTGATTAAAGGTGGAATGTCAGTGGTGTAATCAGGCTGCATTCCTTACTTTTAAAAAAGACCCAAGACCCCATTTGGAAAACTGTATCTGGATTGGGAAGACTATAGATGAATTATAATACCTGGTAGAAAACCATAGCTTTGGGATTCCCTGTACCTTATAGTGCAGATACAAGGTTTTATTGGAAGAATACTTAGAGAAATAGTATAGTAGAGTGTACATCATACTCTGAACTCTAGCCCTGGACTCCAGTGGCTGATA